TTCAATGTAATTATACTGAGTGTCAAATACAGATGCAGGAGCGTTGGCCGGCAGTACATAACATGCGGCGTGCACGGGCGGGCGGGTCGCTTAATTGCTGCCGCTTTGTGTGCGTCTAGTTTTTACTTTTTGACTGCGTGGCCGAAGGGACGTAGGAAATTGCGAGGTTTAAGCACACAATTACTCTATTAGGTCACCAGGGTTCATTTAGTGACGTATTAAATACATTTCAGACGACGCTATGCATTGGTCAAAGCTCTATCCAATCATAGTAATGGACAACCAACTCGTTTCACTAACCCCTCCACTATAATGAATAATGACTAAAAACAAACAAAACCCACCCAACTTTCCATTCAAAGTAATGATAGCCACTAAGCTTCATTAACACCTACATACTAAACACTCAATTTGCATATACATGATTTGCAACTCTTTCATAACGAGATTTGAATTCAGCTTTTATGTTCCGAAATAAATAACTGTTGAAACATTACGCCATTCCAATCAAGGTTTATTAGAGCGTTATATTTTTTGGAACAAAAAACTAATTTATGGAACGGTGCGGTACGTGACAAATTGTCAATGAGTTTGATTTTTTGAGAAAAAAGAACGGGCGGTTAAAGGTAGCCCTCGTGGCGTGGATGCACCGAATGCGGTCCGTAGTTCGGTAGTTGGACGTTTTATTTGTTGCCGGGTATTTCCCGCTCCCCATTCACATGAATCAAACTGAACGGACTCATTTATTTGATACCGGCGGACAAGATACATCCGTATCTAGTATAATTCGTACGCGCACCGGGGGCGATAAAACGCACTCGCACTGCGTGTCGCTCGTCAATTAATTAACTTTTTTATTGCGAGTGTGTGTTGATTTTTTGTTTTTCACAGGTATTTCAATCAAATGGATCACTTTTAAATAACTTTACAGCCCTTTTCAAATAATATTTTTGACATTTATACCCAACACGAAAATAATAAAAAGTTAACTTATTTTTTGCTAGTCAAACAAAACACCTAACAGAATTAAATGTAATGAAACAAGATTAAGAAGGTAAATAGGAAGATATTAAGCTAATTAAATTTTAATCTCAAATAGAAGAAAATTAATTACAAATTGAGACCAGTCCGAAGGTCCTACCGAACGGCTATTTTCTTAATTCTCCTATTTAAAAGGCCGGTTTGATAAGCGCTATCTTATTTCATTAAGTTAATGAAGAATGTTGGGGTAATCCAATCCTGCTTCCTAATTACAGCAGCTCGGTGTAATATATAAGATACGAGTATATTAGAATGAAGCTTCAAATATTTGACTTTCCGTGCGCCTGATACATCGAAACTTTAGCTTTATTGGAGATATTAATAATCGGATTAGTGCTTAATAATGAAGATAGAGTGCTTACTATGATGTATTGTGATAATTTTGTTACGTTAACTTATAATATTATATAATTATAATCAATTCTTGTTAGCCTTTTGTTATCTATAAGCTCTTGCCCGAGATTGATTTTGGTCTGTCTCGTATTTCCATGGATTTTTTGTTGTTACGCAAAATCCTAATTATTTTTCTCAAATAAAATTAAGTAAATTAATATTACGTCAGCTGTCAGCTGGCGGAAGTCCGGTCACTTTCAGTCTAGTTGTGTCAGAAAGAAATACAAACGAATATTATTTTGCGTTCACAGAACAAAAGTATTTATAAGACTACTTAAATTCACATTCATTACTTTAATGCAGCAAAATAAAATTAAGCAGATACAATGTGTATGTGTGTCCAAAACGGGACACGAGAGTTTGCACTTTTAGACGTAATTAACAATAGACGTTTTTAAAATTAATTAAAAGTCTCCAAGGCCCGGGGCACTGTCCGTGGACGTGATCCAAATACTTTCTAACTTCCCTTTTGTTCTTCTGTTTTTGTGGACAACCAGCGGATTTCGTTTCACCGGGTTTTAAAGGTAAAGTCACCGTAACCATTGATTTTTAGTCCCAAACAATTTTTGGACAAATTCGAACTTTGACAACTTTGTGATAAAGTTAGTTAATCCTACCTGCCCATTCATTTTTTCGGGGATAAAGTTTTCTTTTGCTAATTGCTTAGATAATGGTACTTGGATGGGTTTTGTTAATTAATACACTGCGTGTCCCATCTGCAAACCCAGAACGTCCAAGTCGAAAGTTTTACTCTGCACTGCACTGCGGAGGCGTTAATAAAATTTCATAGAAATATTTTGATTGTCAAACACACCCAGAACCACTTTCTAAGAACGCTTGAGTAAGGTATTAAAACTTTTCTCCTTACCCTCGGCTGAACTGGACCAATATTTTTTAATTAGCCCGCAAAAGCAGTTTATCCAAACACAAAGTACAGTTAGTAACTTCCCTGATTAAATCTGAACCACGATATTAGACCAGACCAAAGTTGCGCCTATTATTTTACTAATACCCTGTTCCTTACGACTTTTCTTGTAAGCCATGATAGATATAGGGAGATTAAGTTTAATCGAGAAAAGGGTGTATTATTAGAACCATTATTTTAGTGAAATAGTTATTACACGCTTCTATTTAACTTCGCTTATCAGGTAGTTACAAGTATAATCTTACGAGTTCGTTTCGTTTCGTGAAAAGCCTTTCAGGGTGAAATTTTGCCTATCCAGGGAGAATAGCTAACTTACTCATGTGAATCAATAAGTATTTTGAAAATATATTATTCTGAAGATAAATAAGTTAATATAACAAATATTACATTAGGACTACAATTTCGATTAAAATTAAACAAAACTCTCTGGAGTGGTACTTCATGTGATTTGTAAACATTCGAGAGCTACTTTTACTAAAGCATTTTTTTTATAGATGGTCAATCTTAGTCTATCATCTCCTTAAGTTTGTCACGCTCTTTACGGGACACCCTGTATAACAATATATTATTAATATATACTATAGAATACGTGTTATTTAAAAATTAAATTCAAGCTCAAGCCATAAAACGACATGACGTGCGCTACAAAATTTAAGCTGAGTTGCACGAACTTACTTTAACTTTCACAAACGTCAAAAATCTGTCAAACTCTATACAAAAAGTACTGTTGTTGTTATAATAATATAACAATAGTTACGGTTAAAATAAGGTGGTGCAACTCAGCCTTAATGTCAAAAGTATGATGTCTTCATGCGATTGAAACTCGTCCAAGTCCAAAGAGCGCACCTCGACTGCTCGCTGAATTAATAAACTTTGAAGTTTCGTTTATCTTGCTAAGTAACCCCTCCACAGTAATTTAATTTGTAATCTTTGATTTGAGCGCTTCCCAAATTTCGTTGTTACCTAAAATGATGTAGCAAGAATTTATCTTTTAGAGACAGAACTAAACGCATAACTTTTGAAACTAATTATTAAGTGTTATGTATTCGAAGCGTATCTTTATCTAAACAACTAAATACGTTCGTAGACGTTTTGAAAATACTGCGATGATATCACTGTAATGTCAAAGCAAGAGCATAGGTATGCAATTATGACGTCACATGTTTTTTCGTAGCGTGAAATTAACATTTTATCAAAGTACTCTAGCTTTGTATTGGTACCTATTATGCAGCCTGTGGGACACGGAGCTATTCAGTAAGTTACCGTCAATCTCTACATCACATTTAGTCGATTGTTAAATTATTTTTGTGTAACTACCACCTATTACTTTCCTTGACAACTACAAAAACTCATGTTCCATTTTCGGCACGAGTGATAAAACTTTATAGAGCAAATTAACTTGGCAGATTAAACTTCGCAGCTTAGCAGACGAACTTAATGAACGAAGAGTGTTAAAAATTCCAGACGACTTTCTGACCGACAAAATGAAGAATTTTGTTCACAAGATTATGCGGGCGTCTTGCAAATGCTGAGTGCGAGATCAAAAGCGCACGATAGTAAGCATAGACGACATCTAAGCACTGAGACACTTATGCAGTTGTGATAGATGCTATTTCAGAACAGACATGTATATGCTGACTGTACTTCGTCACGGTCTGCCGACCACAGACGGACGAGTAACTCAGTGTAAAATTAACTTGTAGTAAGCTGTATTTTTCTAATTTTATCTGTGTTGTTAAGTTGTCTGGGAAAATATACGTTGATGATATCAGGATACATAAATAAATATGAAGTTTAACTTTTAAATATTATCTCGAGTGCAAATTGAATGATTTTCATGGTCCTCTGGATTGGACGGTTGGCTGAGTCAGTTTAGTTAGTTTTAATTTAATTAATGGTTGAATTATTATTCTCGAAGGCTCGAAGATTACTTGCATATGGATATGACAATTCAATCAATGGTACCAGTGTATTATTGCGTTAGTATTAAGCACAACAGCATCGATGTTAGTTACGTGTCTTGATGTAAAATAACTGGCTGCTGAAAGGTTTTTAATTATTTAAAATGTAACCGTTTTCCTAAATAGATTTTTAAAAAAGTATTGTAGGTCAAGCTATCTGGGAAATACGTTTTTTTTAAGTCTGGTAGTTTATCACCAGATAATTAGAGATAAATGTAGATGTTGACTTTCTTAAATAGGTAGTTTTTTTTTTTGAGAGATAAGAATAGTTTCTCGCTGTAATTAAAAAAATAAAAATAAAAGCTAACCCGGTACTCTTGACTATAACGCATGAAATGTGCAATTCACTAACTTAAGAACGTAGTACGTTCAAGTTACGCTCTACCGAGCGGGCGATAAGTTTCTTCGTACAGTTGTAATTATTATAGCCGGATATATTTTATCAAATAGCTATTATACAGTTTACCAAGACAGGTTATTATAAAGTTTGATCTTGGACCATTAGGTGTTAAAACGCATCTTAAAATCTGCAGTAGGCACTGGACAGTGCTAGTTTAGGATTTCATAATCGTTTCATACAAAGAAGTGCATGAATGCAACCATATCGCAATTAAATCTAGCTGGATTCTGGATTCTCAGGCATGTGTGTTTCAAAAAGCTTGTTAAAAATAACTACTTACTTACAATTACGTTTTCTCCTCAGCAATATCACTTCTTGTATTAGCAAAAAGTGAAATACCTGCAATGAAATAAAAAATGTTTTATTAAATATAACACGAGTAAGTACCTATGTCAAACGTCCTAGCTACACCAATCTTTATTTTTGACTTATCTGGTTTCTCTCTGAGCTGACTTTATATAGAGACTGCGTTATAGAGAATAGAGAATGTCAGGATATGTATTAGGTCATTAAAATCTAGGTTCATATAATACTGTGACATCATCTTTCTAGATGACACCTAGCTCAGCGTTTGCCAAAACACGGTCTCCACTCACACGTCCAAAACACACGCTGCTTTGATACTAGTAGCCACTCATTAGTTATACCAACGCCTGTAGTAAGTTAATTAGTCCAAATGATCTTTTAGTCCCGAGTTTTATTCTCTGTTTTAAAATACTTAGGCTGGGTTACACCATCTGACTTTGACTTTGCCAAACATCAAAAATCTGTCAAACTCCATACAAGAGCAGCGGTTATTGTTACAGTTAAAACTAGCGACCGCCCGCGACTTCGTACGCATAGATCCCGTTTTACCCCCTTCATATATCTTACGCGGTTTAGATTTTTTCATACAAATGTTTTTTTCCCGCTAACTCCCGTTCCCGTGGGAATTTTTCAATATCCTGTTGTAACTAAGCTTTAAGTTTACTAAGGTACCTGTATGCCAAATTTCAAGCGTCTAACTTAAGCGGTTTAGATTTTTCATACAAAAGGATTTTCACGCTAATTCCCATTCCCGTGGGAATTCCTAAGTATACTTTAACCTGCCCAGGAGTATGAAAAATAATTGCACCAAGTTTCGTTAAAATCCGTTCAGTAGTTTTTGTTTCTATAGGTAAGGAAGGAACATACAGACAGACAGACAGTCAGACAAAAATTTTACTGATTGCATTTTTAGCATCAGTATCGATCACTAATCACCCCCTGATAGTTATTTTGAAAATATATTTCATGTACAGAATTGACCTCTCTACAGATTTATTATAAGTATAGATAAGGTGGTGCAAATAAGGTTAGTTAACTTACAAACAAGGACTGAGATTACACCGAGGTTAAGATTGACTCTGAAATTTTTAAGACCCTTTGAATGAAAATTAAAAAAAAATAGATCAACAAGAAAGTAATCTCCGTTTGAAACAATCTATTAATATCATAACTTATTTGATTTCCAAAGTCTATAGAATTTAACCCAATGAATCAATGTATCGGCGATGTTTGCAAAGTTGCCCTTAACAGAAAACGCTCCATTCCAATCAGAAACTTAAATTAGTTCTTGGACAATTTGGCACGCATTATCGGGACACACCGAGACATTGTGTAGTCCGCTGTCAAACGCAGCTCTGCCTGATCACCAATATAAGGCCCGGTTTGCACCAAAGCGGAGATGGAGAGGAGAGGTGTCACCAAAAGCCCAAACAGACTTCGTTATTTCCTAAAACACCTTTCTGCTCAATTTTGGGTCGGGAATCTGATTGATAATTCAGTTTACAGTCTCCTCTTCGCTCTGGTAGAAACTAGGCCTAAATGTGCGGAAGTTAGGCGGAGCGATAATCGTAGTAAAAATCCACCAATACAAATTGCATACAATTTTCGCTCCTTTACAGTGGATAAAGAGTTGCGAACTAGTTGAAAATTTCATACAAAACTGGATGCAGAGTGAGTAAATAAAATGACAAGTCACGTGCTCGCGGCCTAGCTCCACCTACGGAAAAACATACCAACCGAATTGAGAACCTCCTCCTTTTTGAAGCCGGTTAAAAACATTCCGCAACTCTGATCCACATACTTTCTCGCTCCATTTCGCTACCTAACTTCGCGTCTATGGACAGACAAAGTCCGCTACTCCGCTCCGCATTACTCCCTCGCTCCGCTCCAGTGTACAGGCAGCCTAAGCCGGGATATTACTTGCTACAATATCCCAGTTTACATTGCGGAATAACTGAATTAATTTCTGATCACCGTCTGCCCGCGGATGTTTCTTTGTAGAGCCCAAATCGGTTGTAATTACTAAGTCTAGGCAGAGTGTTTATGAAGTTTGATTTTCTACCATCAGCTCTTATAAAAAACTGTGCCTCTATTATTTGTTTTAGATTTGGAAATTATTTTATTCATAACGATATACAAAATCGTATGTTCTTTCGTTTCAGCCAAATAACCCATGAATTTTAAGTACTACGCAGCCCGTATCCAGGTACTTCCCGCGACCTTCACCAGATCGTCAGTCCACCTAGTGGACATATTTGAAAATTAAACATTACAATTTACAGGCGCTGGTAAAATTCTCACGAGTATTAAGTACTTGCTAAAATATATCTGTTTACATAGTTGAATTATTGAATTAATTTCTGATTACCGTTATTGCACGAATTCGCCGAATCAATACCGAACGAGAGTCGCCATTAAACATCAAATCGAATTCGCATCTGCTAATAAGTGTAATTCCAATATTAGCCGGGCAAAGTCCGTGATTTTCACTAATAACGAGTATAAAATTAATTAACGGTTTAAGTGAATTACTATCAGCAATCAGCACTTATTAATATTGCGCGTATCTTATTAATGATTATAAACAGGTTTATTAATTAAAATTACCTTTGATGAACGTTTATTTGCCCAAAGCTGATTGAAAAGCTTTTGTAGCTTCAAATTATGATTAGGTCAATCAAATGAATGAATGAGCGAATCAATTGTGTCAACGACTACCACGACAATTATTTTGTGAAAGTAATAAAACACTAATTGTAAAATCCATAACTAAGATGATAATAATAATAAATAATAAATCATTGGACAATTTCACTCAGCGCCAGCTAGCCCTATACATATGATGCTCGAACTTGTCACTCACATACACAAACATTATTTTGTTGTCAACTAGATTCAAACCTATAATAGCACTTAACGGAAACACGCAAACTCAAACCACCTGCCTTTCATAAAACAAAATAGGTAAGTACTTTATGCTATCCACGACACATTTCCACGCACTAAAATTGAGCCAAAATGCAAGATCGTAGGTTATTCATGAGCAAAAGGTATCCATTATTTAGCAATAAAACATGCGGGACGTAGCACAACGTTTTAATTCCGCTAAAAGCGTTCATCTCATTGTGGCCGGCCCGATGATTCGGATTACGTACGTGCAAATGCCACCATCACTTGCCGAGCCATTTGAAACTTTATCCTCAAGCGATAAGGTCATCATTAAGAGTGATATATGGTAGCGACTCATACAGATTGGACTCGCCCGACTTATACGGCGGGCGACTCCAATCTGTATGAGCGAAGCGACAGTCAGGCTGCAAAGTCTTTTGTTGGTAGATAATAACAGCTGAAAATCGCATCTTGCATTTACAATGTGGACGTCTATGCATTTAAGAGCATCAAGCTGGACTCTAGCCGTTTGAAACGTAGCCCAAACGATTTACACTCAAGTTCATTCAAGCGCGCAATTATAGTTCATCATTTAGTCTCCACTGCAGAAGCGATCCAGAGGCAAATGGAGGATTTGGCCTACATTCCCCACGCTGGCCAAACGGGCTGGGGAGGGAATTTTAGTTGAAAAATGGAATCGGCTAGAATGTATTCCTATTCGAGTATCATTTTGTAATACGGACTTCAAAATTGTACACAAGTTAGATGTGACGTAATGGTTTCATACCTTATGTCAGGGTACTCGTGCGCACACGTCACGCTTCCCATTACCGCAAACTTCACAGATTGATATTCCACGCCAATATTTTCCAGGAAACAACTAATCTCTTTAAACCTGACAAAACATCAAAAGTGCTGTAACTCAGTTATTCCGAGTCAATATCCAAAGTGAATGTTAATGAGTCGGCCTTGAGCCGGTCGTTGAGCTCCTGGCTCCTGCAAGTTCGTGCTGAGCAAATATCTCGAACGAATTCGAATTGGAACTTTCGTGCGAGACTAGCAAATGTCAGGGTGGATCATAGCCCTTGCACTTAGCGAGGGATGTTGAGATTAAACACTTGACTTTAATACTTGGCTCTAACACTTGGCTCTAATACTTTACACAAGTATTGATCGAGAAAACAATGGCTTATTTATCCTTAGTAATATATTTAGATATTGGTACAACAAAATATTATTCGTCGCAAGCGAAGACATTGACCTGCATTTAGATAAACAATTTATATTGGAAATAAAATAAAGAGCACGTCATCTCAAATAAGCCTGATAAAGTTACGTTTGATATTATTAAGGCGAGATCCAAATATGATTGATACAGAATATTATCCCGGAATGTTATAAACAGCGGCCTACAACGACCTACTATTTGTTATCAGTGATAACAAACGGCGACCCGTCGGTGTAGTGTTTGCCGGCTACAATTTCAAGTTTTGTCTTTGAGTTATGGGAAGCTGTTCATAACGAAATGCTTTTTATCGGCGGGATGACACCCAAAATATGGGGGAGATTGGGAAAACTTACGAAACAATCTTTCGGGCGTTTGTTTATTGGGCTCATTAGTTAACCTAACTAATGATTAAGGCAACACTTTAAGACTCCCCGCAGACCACAGGCTTTTAGTAAGCCGATTATACCTATCAATTTATTTCTCTTTACACAATTTCATAGCTTAAACAGGTAGGTTATTATAAAAATTTTAGAGGATCCTTATTAAGTATTTTGTAGAGATGATTGAGAGAGATTGATGATGAGATGAATGAGATTTCGTATGTCGGCTTCTAATTTGTGGGAGAAATCGGCCGATATGAATCAGCGTAAATGTGCGTACATACACGTTCAAATTCATACTGATTAACAGCCCGACCAAACTATTGGCCGACAAAAAGTCTAACGTCTGCGGGTTCTCTATTAATCGCCGAGGGCCGAACTTTGAGTCCAGGTGGGATTTTCACATAAATACGTCTAAAGAAACGTTTTTTCTTTAGTAGTTAGTTTCCAGTTTGGTTAGCAAATTGCTTAAACAACCTGTTCCAAGAAACGTTCTTGTTTCGGAGGGCTTAAGCCTTGTGCTGACCAATGTCTGC